AGATGATACATCTAGAGTGTAAGGAAGTGTGAAAAGAGAGAGAGAGAGAGAGAGATTAATTTCTATACTTTTCATTTTTATTTTTAATCTCTTTTTTTATGTAAATATATATGTGGGTTTTATTGAAGATATATCTATAAGAGAGGTTTTAAATAGGAGCATAAAACAAATAAATGAAAGGTAGTTTTAAAATAAATGTTCATAGGAATAGCAATTGATTCATGGTGACATTCCGAAGTTATAACAATAAATAATATTTATTATTTGAATTAGGGTGTAAATAGCTACCATAATCTAGATTTCACTTCTGCTAAGAAGATCATCAGATGGGGTGTGTGGGTGTGTATTATAACTCAGAATAGTACTACGACTATATAGTTTCGACCTTTCTCAAGAGTCAAAATTTTCAGGTAGTGTCGGTGTGGATGTGAGGTGTGTTAATATATACGATGATAAGATTCAAAGCATCATACGACGCGTTTCGGTCCTTGCCTAAGGGATCATCATCATGTATGTTTTGAATCTATAACTACATAAATTAATAAAAAGAATGTTGTTTCATAATTAATGTTTATTGGGAAAATGTAAATCAGAAATAATGTCAAGTAGTATAATTATCTGAAATGAATAAACTAAATATTAAACAAGATTAGGATACATAGTAATTGTAAGTTACAGAAAATGTTCGAGTTTTAAAGATGAATTTTTAATTAGATTAACTTCAGTTTGATTCATTTTTATGGTATACCTAGTAAATACTGAGAAGGAAATATTCTAATTTGAAGATGTAAGTGTAAGATATAATTTCAAAATAAATAATAAGCATACTTGTTTATGGTAATATGTGTTACCCGAGATTACCGTTGTGAGCTCTTGTCAGAACTAAACCGCCTCGTTGCTGTTGTTGTTGGATGAAGAAGTGACGAGAGTGACTGCGAAGCAAGTGTTTATATAGACGGATGGCCGTTCCCTAGATGTTCACCGTCTAAACATCTATGGCAAAATATTATTTATTAACTATATACGTGGATATACCTGTGACTGATGACTGACCTCTATTACATAATATTATTTTATAACGATAGGCCTGGATATGCCTATGACCGATAACTGACCTCTATTACGCAACATTATTTAATGACGATAGACCTGGATATGTCTACGATATATCAGGTCTTACTGATGACAAATAGTCGTACATTTACTCCATGTATAATTACCTTTTTCGTTTACCCATTCAATTGAATAATTAATTGATCTTGTTGTATCCTTTTATAATGGACAGTATCGTGTAGTAAATATCTAAAATATGATCATAAATTAAAACAAAACTAGTAGTGGAGAAAAAATTTTTAGTTAGACGTCCCATATTCTCATTTTGACATGAAATGTATCCTAGTTCTAGTTTATTGATATACACAACTGAAACACATGGAACAAATCAACTAACAAAAAAACAAATGTTAATAAATTTAAAAACATATCTGGATTACTATAAAGAAAACTACAAGTTTAGTTACAATATCAATGATAATAATTATCAATTGCATCTTCAAGTTCAATGTCATCAAGTATTAAATTTTCTAAATCATCACAACAGTCTTCTGAATTCGCATATGTATCATCAGTTTCAGGATTGAAATAAGATTCTTCATCAGAATCATGATTGATGCCAAAATAATCACGTATATCAGTATACAAGTCAACATTATTAAAACTTGAATTAAATCCATTTAAATTTGTAGCTAAACGTTCACGAATATGAATATCGATATTTAACTGATTAATAAGATCATGTAGCATTGTAATAAAACCACTTTCGATTGTATGACGACGATTCAAAATGTACATTCTATGTTCATATGTTAGATCTTGATCAAAAAACAATTCATTTTGTATAGCATTCAAAATTTCAATACATTCGGCTTGAAGATTTGAACTAATATTATTATTATTAATATTATTATCATTAATATAAGATGAGAGAATGAAATTATTTGGTAATGATTTGATTTGAGACATGATGAAAATGAATTTGTTTTATAAGTAAACGAAGATAAATGAAAACTGATTATAATAATTCTTTTCTTTTCTTTTTCATTCTGTCTATAACGGTTTCCGTCTAGCAAAATTCAAATTAATCCAAGCTAACGGTTTTTTTCTTTTCTGTTCCGTTTATAACGATTTTCCGTCTGGCTAACGTATTATATCGATCTAGGGTATTTTTTTATTCGTTTCCATTCTGATGGTAACGGTTTTCTGCCTATTGCATTTTAAATTCATTTATTGTGGTCTTCGAGGATCGATATATTTTCATAAGATAATTCCTATATCTACTTACAACGGGTTTCGATCCTTGTTTAAGGAACTCACCAGATATATTCTGTGTCTCTAACGATTCAAAATCACTCGATTAATTTATAATATGATGTTGATCAGTTGTTTTGTATATTAAAAAGTCTATAATGATAAAAAAGCAGTGAACGTAGATTGGTCGATGTATTACTGCGAAATTTATGATATTTTTGTAGAAAACCAAGAGATAAAATGGAAATCGACTTACAGAATGATAGTATATAAATTGTTTTTTTTCGAGAAAGTATATAGAAGCTAGCGACGATGATATTCTAATTGATTTGTGTGATAGTCGTTGCATTTGTTTCTTTTTATAATATAGGTTAGGTTGCAATTTATTGTGTGTTGTAAATAAAAATATGTTAATCTGAAATAAAGAGGAATATTATTCATTGAAATATTCAAATGAATATATTTTATACTAAAGACTTATCCAGTGAAAATGAGAAACTAGAAGTGAATTTTTTTTACATAGACTTAGTGTTAAACTTCAAGGTGATATTGAAAAAAAGTTCATATTTATGTTTATAAGGTATTGTGATGTCTTATTGTTCAAGATCTTGGTTCCATTTTGATTAACATTGCTCGTGGAGGTTTTTTATGTATGAAGAAAGTTTCAAGCGTACGACCAGTAATAGGAATGAGTCGTACTTTAATTTGTTCTAGTGGTGATCCGGAAAATGCATAATATGTTTTCCACCAATTTGTGAATTCTTGTCGGAAGTTGATTGCCAATGAAGTATCAAATAAATAACGTGGATACATTATTTCTTTATTCCATATTTTTGGTTGTAATACCAATGGTGTTTTAATCGGATCTTCCATCATTGCTTGAAATTTTTTCTCACTAAGTGTTTCTTGATACAATAAATTGTGGTGTAAACGAGAGTAAACCTGTTCGTTTATTTGTTATAATATAGATAGTCTATTATTTAAATAAAAGAATCTATTGAATTGTTGAGTAATAAAATGTGGTGGATAACCATTTAATAATAATGATAGATCAATACGAACACATTCGGAATTAAAATCATTCACATGTGAGCAGATACGAGCAGCACGTAATAATGCTGCATAGCCAATATTTCGATGTATATGACGTGGATGATCTGATTTATATGGTAAAATATAAGGTTCAGCAGTTGGTTTATGAAACATATATGTTCTTAATTGACCATTTTCATTTGTGATAGTTACATCGAGATAATGAACAGATTTGCTTATTCTGGGTTCAATTTTGATATTTATATCTTTGTGTTTTGCTTTTTCAAGTTCAATATTAATTTCATCGATGGATTTATTTGTTGTCATGAAAATATCATCGATATATCTACACAAATGACAAGATTATATGTTGTTATGAATATTATAATTAGTCTACTAACCTTCCATAGACTTCATGATGTTCTATTTGATGTTGAATTAAATCTTGTTCCCATTCCATTAGATAGATGTTTGCTAAAACTTGTGTAAATGCTGAGCCCATAGCTCCACCACGAATTTGTTTATAATATTTATTATTATAAGCAAAACAGTTTGTATCCAAAATTAAACGAGCCATTTTCATAATATGATCAATTGTAAATGTGCCAATTTTGCCTTGATAACAATATTTAACACAAAATCGAGCTAATGCTGTTAATGCACCATCTCGTGGTATCATTGTGTAAAGATTTTCAACATCGATAGTAATAAATTTTGTTCTTGAAGTAAGATAACCATCAGCATCATATTTTTCTAGTTGTCGAATAACATCTATATCATTAATAAATGTATATTTACGATTAACTTTCAAATAGATAGGTGCCAAAACATCATTCAAAAACTTTGATGCCAATGTTGCAGGTGCATGTATACTGGCTACTATAGGTCGTAATGGTGTTTCAGGCTGTAAGAAAAAAAAGAATAAAGATTAATCTATTGTTTAATATAAATTTACTTTATGTGGTTTAGGTATACCATGATAATGACCTAATTCTAAATTATTTAGTTTTGGAATTAATCGATTAGATTGTTTTTTTGTTAAAGCCTTTTTCGTTACAAGATAATCGAATAGAGTTTGTACAGCATGTAAATTATCGGCCAAAGGACAACGACCATTTTTAATTTCTTCATAAGCTTCAGTTTTTAACATATATTCTTCTGCTTTACGTTCAAAATCAGCTGCTTTACCAATATAAAATACTTTACTCTTATCCGTTCGACGTATAACAATATCTGATCGTTGACGTATTAGACGTTGAACATATTGAACGGTTTTATATTCACGTTGAGCACGAATTCGTAATTTTTTTGGTACATTTTTAGATTGGTATTCATGAAAAATATGTTCTAGTGCCTGAAATGCTTGGTTAGCTCGTTGATCTGTAATTGATATTCTATTGTCTTGTAAGCAATCCTTTACAATTGTCGATACATTTTTATATTGTTCAGTAATAATGTCATCGATCGGTTTACGACTAAATCGACTTTGACATGGTATGATATATTTGAGACCATTAATAAACATTGACATTTGTTGTGGTGTTAGATTTAAATCGACTTCAATAAATGGTAAGGAAGCAGACAGTACTATTCAAAAAAACTTGCACAAAATTGAATTTTTTGTATAACGGTTTTTGTATCGTTAGAAAGTAATTAAAAGTTTAACTTTTCCAGGGATATATGTCCGTTAGTAACATTACACGTTGACTATATAAAAGCGTGAATTCTTTTCTTTTTAATACATAAACATCTAATCATGACATCATCTACTGATTTGAAAAATCATCATATATCATTATTACATTATTAGAACAACGGCATATGATCAGCTCATGCTATCCACCGTGAAACGAAGATACTACTAAGGACTATCCATTACAATATAAACAAATTGAAACAAACAAATTCACTTAAACACTGAGGAGGAAATGGTCGGCCAGTTGTCTTATGTTCGATAGAAAAAAAGCTATTGGTCAATATATTCGACATAACAACGAAATAATTGTAAAAGAAATTAAAGAAAAATGCACTTTCCGCTTCAACAGATGGTAATCTTCTTTTTGAAAAAGCGAATTTATGTGAGTTTCGAAAAAGTTGGTTAGATAAAGAATTTTCTATTAGATGTCTAAGGAAATCAAAAAGATTTGTTCCTAATCATTCTATATTAGAGAAAGTGGTTACATGGCTTTCTTCTATTCCGCTGAATTCTTCAGTTCCACACTTTGAGATGAATGATATAGAACTTCTTGAGAATTTTCCCGATTCTTTTTGTTAGCCTAAAGTTGTTGTTTGTTTTTTGTTTTTTGCTTTTTTTCTTAGTACTATCTTCATGTTAGCTTGTCACTTTTGGTTGATTTTTGTTCACACATAAAACCCTTTGTTCTTTATAACTGTATGGTTTTCTTGTAGTCGTCTATCATATTATATTTAATGTGTTTCTGTTTTCGTCTTTTTCTTTTCTTTTGTACTGTTAGGATCGAATGATCGCAGTTATTATGCAAATAAAAAAAAAAAAAAAAAAGAAATTAAAGAAAAATTATCATCAGCTTATCGGTCATCCGTATCTATATCAACAATACGTCGTAATCTTATCAAGAAGTACCCATATGTTAACATCTGAGCACAAACAACGACGCATTCAATGGGCACAACAGCACCAAAACTATGATTTTACACATACAGTATTTACAGATGAAACATCATTTCAACTTTTCCGAAACACTGTTCGTCGTTGGACAAAATGCCCAAATAATGAATCAAACGAATAGTAAAAAATCAACACAAAGTCCACATGTGGGGTGCTATTAGTGTAAGAGATGTATTGACTTGTCACACCTTCAGGTGCAATCTTGATGGTTCATATTATGTTCATATACTTAAAAACTATCTTCTTCCTGCTGCTAAACAAGAATTTCATCAAAAATGGTGTTTACATCAAGATAATAATCCTAAACATACTAGCAATATTTCCAAACAATTCATCAACAACAAAGTACCACGGTTACTAGAGTGGTCATCCAGTAGCCCAGATGTTAATCCTATCGAGAATGTATGATCGATCGTAAAACGCAAAGTTGAAAAAAGAAAACCGAAAAACATTGATGAACTAGAACTTTTTTTATGTGAAGAATTTAAAAATGTTGATGTTAATTTTGTAATGAATATTATGATGTCGATGAAAAAACGATGTTTGTCTCTTATTGAATCTAAACGTGAACGAATAGAATATTGAAGTGTAGTGCTAAATAGTACTCGTCATACGCTATCAGCCAGTTATGGAAACTACTTGAGAGTGACTTATATATAAGGATATATTTACGTAACAAGATGTGGAAGTTTTTTTAAACAGGTGTGTATATCTTCGCTTCCACTCTCTCTCTCTCTCTCTTATTTTCTTATATACGATAGAAGGTTGTCGCCTACCAACCATAGACACAAGGATAGACATATTTATAATTTTACCTTCTCCTACTCTTATATGAGATAGAAGGCCGAGGTCTATTTCTACTATGTCTGCACTAATAGCGAAGGTTTACCGCAAAATGAGTTAACGTAAATATTTGAATATGAAAGAGTATATAATACTATTTAAAGAATGAAAACTTCCTTTTTTAGATACACAAGAATATAGACTATTGACACACTTATTCTCACACCCATCTCAAGAACTGGCTGTTCTTTCTTAAGAATTCCCTGACAATCCAGAAATCTTCTATCAACTTTATTCTCAGAACAAATAATATCATTGTATTGAATTTATCATTTGAATTGTTCTATTCTTTTACTTAATAATAGTTTCGTTGTTGTCAATACAAACTTTTTCATTGAATAAAGGACACACTCGATTTTAACATATTATTTCTTTACCGAAGGATATCTTTTTTTGATATACTGTTAAACGAAGCATGACAAGAAAAAAAATCATATTCATATAAGCAATCGTTATAAAACTTGTATATATTCATTTGTTTTACTTTCGTTTATATAACAAATATCTCTATAGAAAATATGAATTCAGACGACGCTGTTTTTAGTGGATTTGCTGGTGGACATGATTCAGGTAAGACTTTATGAATTTTCAAATTAATAAAAAAAATCTTCTTTTTTATCGTTGAAAAGTTCCTGGTGTAGGAAATGTTCCTCCATCAACAGGTGGTTTTGAAGGAATCAATACATCTGGAAATCCTCAATTAGATGCTCATACTCGTGTTGATCCAAATAATTTTCCCGGTATAGTCCATTGGGGTCAAGAACAGGTTGTTGCACGTACACTACCTCAACACCCTCCAGTTGATAAATAAATTGATTCCATTCGATTAAAATTTGTTAAGTAGAAACAAACATATTTGCCTTTTTTTTCGAATAAATCATCAATAACAATCGAATTGGTTAATAATCTTTTTACTAAAAATGAAAAATTAGTAAAAACACAATTAATTGATTAAATATGAGATGATTAAAAACGAATTCAACGGACAAAAAACTAAATATAGTAAAAAGGTTTAAACACTAATTTATAATGACAAAATTCTCCTTTTTTGAGCGTGTGTGTGTGAAACAATTAACACATATATCTTGAGGGTGTGGGTGTGGACTAGCTACCATAATTTAGATTTTACTTCTGCTAAGAAGATCATCAGATGGCTTGATAATGAATTAATAATGATCTTAAAGTAAAGATCAAAACCAACTTTCAATGAATTACATAGTTATATACTAAATTATATTAATATATAATAGTAATTACACAACCTAGGAGACATAGCACGTAAACTACACCCGACTTTCTAAAAATGTGCTCGAATCAATCTGCAGTTAACCCTATCTTGTAGAGCACATTTTTTTAGTATTATATCCTACGTTTTATCCTTACTCAATTTTTCCTGACTGCGATACAAACCTCCTTATAGAAGATTTTTCTTGAGGGTGTGGACTAGCTGCCATAATCTTGATTTCACTTCTGCTAAGATCATTCGATGGTTTATTAAATGATAAAGTAGATTATTATATTGTATGTAGTTTAGTTGAAAGTAAATCAAACTGAACTGAAAATATATTAAATTTAGTATTTAGATAGTATGTTAGATAGTGTTTGATGTTGAATAAATTCATTTTAATTCGGAAATGTAGAAGAAAGAAAAAGGAATAAGGAACAGACTTACGTTAATGTTTATCTTAAGATATGGTTAAAATAGCAGTATTTTGATGGTTATCATGTTCTTGAATAATTGGATAATCGATTTTCGATTTTTATATCTATGTTTAGTTTACAAAGTTATATGTAGTTTATATTAATTGACTTTTTAAAGATTAGTTAATTTACTGGATTGTTTTAATATTTTGGTTTTTGAAGTTATGGTACTGTTGATTGAAGTAGTATTGGTCTAGCGAGAATATTTTTGGTTTGAATTTAGTTTATTTGGATTATACAGTATTGGGTTTTAGTTTGTAGAAGAAATAATTAAATGGGTTAATTAATTTTTTGTATTAGTAATAATAAAACAATACTTATTTGTGATGTTATCTATTGTTAATGTTTTGTAATTGTATAATTCGGATTGAAGTAGCTGTAATATAAAAATAATAATATTTAATGCCTAAAGTATAAAATCTATATATGGGTGGTACTTATTTGTATATTATTTTAAATAAAATATAAGAATATAACAGAAATAAAATATGTGGGAAACATTGCTATGTAATAATGAATATGAATGTTCTGAAGACGTGCAAATATTCTATTTCATTCACAAAATATTGCAATGATAGAGAAGAAAAACAAAAGGAAACTATGTATAAACAGGATAAAAGAAAAAAAAGAAAGAAAAAATATTATTAGTACACATAAACTATAACTTTTTTTCTTTTAACACATTATTAATGCAGAAAATAAATATAATATTAATTAATAATGTATTCTTTATTATGGCACATCTTTCTGAACAGTGTGTATTTACAATTCATTAATCTATTAATTTAAATAATAATCTATTTTATATTTAACTTTTTTGATTATAATATCTAATAATAATAAGCACGAATAATTTGAATTAGGTTATTAGAATGATGAGAAAAAATACAATTAATTCAATATTAATATTTACAAGAATAATGTAGAAGAACTATAACACTAGATCTAGTATTGCAGAACTCAAAAAATGTTCATATGTTTGATACATTGTTTTAATTTATAATATATAATGTTTAAAACGAACAAGACCTAAAATTATTATTCTAGATGGGAAACACATAGTAACTTAGTAGAGATCAAAGGAATCAAGTTCTATTTAAAATTTAACAATATTAGACGAAGATAGAATTCATAGTAATTTGTAATATTAAAAAAAACAACATTTTCTAATTTAGAAAAGTACTTATTGTTTCAAATGATATAGAAATAGAATTTTGTATAGGGGTGGGTGTGGGTGGGTGTCGGATTACAATACAGTAATAACATTCATCTACACTCACACCCTCACTCATTAGACGCTGCGTCTCCTGGCACTTCTCTCAAGGAGATTCTGCATCTCCAATATATCAGTCTCCAACATCTTTCCATAAACATCCACTGAAACGTTTATAATTTTTGATACTTTCATACATAAATAGCACATAACATCCAACGATTCTGACTGTAAATGTTTCAAGCCGCTATGGAAAAAACATCTTTTCAATATCTTAGATAATGAATATTACATATATTAGAATTAGAGGAAAAGCTAAAAGCATGATGTTCTTCAAGCAAAACACAATTTAAGATTCACTAACATTACTTCATTTTCTCTAATACAAATGTACCTCATAGGATATCCCCATATCACACAAGCAAGTTATAATAAACTGTGAAGCAACATCATAAAAGCAGTTCAGATATCTTCTGTCCAGTTCAAACCCAGTCGAATAAAGATTCCCGAAACTTTCAGAGAATCAGTCGCAGATCGCACTCCAACCAACATAGCCGGTCAGATATCAATCTGAAAAACAACAGATCCAAACTGCACATAGAACTAATTCTGCTTCATCATCTTGCCTATCATTAGATAGATTTATTTCATGGGCATCAATGCGATGACTTGTTCGATGATCATGCAGCTGATGAAATAAATGTATTTCATGATGATCAACGCTCCGACTTGCTCGGTGATTATGCATTTCATCAGATAGATATATATATATATGTCGTTTGAACTAATTCGCGGCTTATTTTATAAACACGCAACAAAACCTAACAGCAAACTCATGTAGAAGAAAGAAGGAAATATTTCCTGGGCCATATGAGGAGCATGATGATGTGTATAAAAGTAGCTGATGAACGACAGTAGGAATGATATCAACGCATGTAACAATAGAACGGAAGAACATATTTATGTCGTGCCGAAGTTACTGTGAATGATGTAATAAACATTAAACATAAAAAATCAACGTGATTTTTTCGATCTTAGTATTAATAATTATTTTTAAATTAATAGAGATAGACAAAATTTATTGAAATTTTTTTTTTAATTTACAAAACATTTACAAATACAACAAAAATAACAAAAGTCTACATAATAAATTATATATCACAATTATTTATTACAACATGATGTGGAATTATGACATCTCGAATTGCATAAAAGTTTATTTTTTTACACTTGCACCTACTACTTGAGCAACCACGTTTACACGAACATTTTAAAAATCCTTGTCCGCCTGTAACACTCTGTAATTTAACAACTTCTCTTAATGATTTCTTAATACTTTGATCGACGTCTTCAATTAATATAGTTGGTATTCCTGGAGCTTTTGAAAACTGATTAAAACTATAATAATTATTAATAACACCTTGTTCTACTCCTAATTTGTATTTGTCATCTTTTATTTCAATAATAACAGCAAGTACATTACGCGCATCAGTTGGTCCACGATCAACATCTGGTACTGGAACCAACTAAAAAAAGATTATTATTTATTGAATATTATTTGATTAAATATTACTTACAACATTATCGCCAACGTTTAGATCAGCTAATTTATGTCGTTTTGTTATATTTTGCAAAAATTCATCAGCTTGTCGTTTTTGGCCATGTCGTCCAACTTCACGAATATTATTTGTTTTTTTAACTCTGTTAGTAAGTAAATCATTATTATTTTTATTTTGTTCAATAATATTTAATACATTATTATCATCTAATTTATTATTATTATCTAATTGATTATTATCATTTAATTCAGCAATTATTAATTCATTAAATTTTAATCCATCTTGTTCACTATCACTTGTACATGAATTCACATCATCTACATCATTTGTTAATATACCAAATTCACTTATTAACTCGTCTTCAGTTGTTATATCATTAAAAATAGAAGGATTTAAAGATGTTGATGATAATCCTAATTTAGATTCATTACCAAATAAAACTGCATATGGACTATTATTTAATATTCTATGAAAACACGCATTTTTTTGGTATTGTACAAATCGCAAGCCTTCGGCCCATTTCGTAGAGTTGTTTTCGCGAATCCATGTTCCTAAACGATAAAAAAGTGAATAGAAATAACAAATTTTGATATGACATACCTAATAACTGCTTTGTACCTTGATTGGATCTTTCCACAGATCTTTGCGATTACGGATGGCGAGGTTTTCCATGAATAATTTTAAGATCTTTCCATATTAATGCTAATTCTTCAATAACTCTAGCCACAAATTCCCTCCCATTATCTGATTGCAATATTGCAGGTGCACCAAATGTAGTAAAAATATCTAACAAATTAAATGCGACTTCCGCTGCAGTTTTTGATGTAAGTGGTCGTAAAATAGAAAATTTTGTAAAATGATCTTGATAATTTAAAATAAATTTAAACTCACCATCAGGAGAAGATGGCATATCAATAAGATCTACTTGACCACGTGAATTAAAATCATTTGAAATAATTGGACGTATAACTAATTTCGATGAATTTCTTGGTTTTGCGCGCTTAATTTTGCATTCATTACATTCCGAAATAAAGAATTTAACTTGTCTTTCTGTAACATTAGCACATTTTTTTTAATTTCTTTTAACGTATATTTAATTCCACGATGACCTATATTAGAATGAGCGATCCTAATTATATCATAAAGTTCATTAGTTGGAGCATAATATTTAATTGATGTACAGTACTATTCAAAAAGACTTGCACAAAATTTAATTTTTTATATAACGATTTTCTTACCGTTAGGAAGTAATTACAAATTTGACTTTTTCAGGAATTTATGTTCGTTAGCTATACTACACGTTGACTATATAAAAGTATGACTTCTCTTCTTTTTGATATATAAACATTTACTCATGACATACTTTACTGATTTAGAAAACTATCATATATTGACACTACATTATTATAATAGAGACATCGGATGCGCTCGTGCTATTCATCATGAAATAACGATATCATCAAGGACTATATATTACAATGTAAATAAATTGAAACAAACAAGTTCACTTCAACAGTAAAGAGGAAATGGTCAACTACGTGCCTCACGCAAATAGAAAAAATCTATATTGCTCAATCTATTCGATGTAACAATTAAATAACTCTCAGTGAAATTAAAGAAAAATTATTGACAACTAATGGTTCATAATATGCTCATATACTAAAAAACTATATTCTTTTTACTGCTACACAAGAATTTCGTCAAAATTGGTATTTACAACAAGATAATGATCGTAATCATACTCACAATATTTCCAAACAATTGGTCAACAACAAAGTATTATAATTATTGGAGTGCCCATCTGATACTCGAAATGCTAATCTTATCGAGAACTTATGGTCGATCGTAAAGTGCAAAGTTGAAAGAAAAAAACCGAAGAACATTGATGAACTCGAGTTTTTTTAAGTAAAGAATTTAAAAATGTTAGTGTTAATATTGTAGTGAAAATTGTGATGTCGATGAAAAAACGATATTTGTCTCTTATTGAATCTAAAGGCGAACGAATAAAATATTGAAGTATAGTGTTTAATAGTACTCGACATAGGCTATCAATCAGTAATAGAAACTATTTGAGAGTGACTTATACATGGGGATATATTTACACAACAAGATGTGCAAGTTTTTTTGAATAGTGCTGTATCTTCAGATCCGTGAATTTGTTTTTACAAATTTATCTTCATTGCCATTATTAAGCACATCATACGCTCTTAACAAGGATATTTCTTGACCAGTTCTTCTATTATTACTTTTTAATTTTGCATCATTAATTAATTCAATTGTTTGTTTATATCTTTCTAATGTAAAAACTGGATTATTTGATGATTCATTTTTCATTACTAATATTTTATTAATAAAATCATTTTTTAATTTTATAGTATTATTAATTTTTGTTGGTGTTAATGTTTCACATGATGTAGTAACAGATGAAGCAGTAGTTACCTATATAACAATACTTCGTTTCTTTCTCAAAATATTTTCATTTACTTACCTTTACAGGTGATAAAATACATGTGGAAGTCATTTCGTGAGAATGTAATTACAAGAATCAATATCTTAGTTTAACAAAAAAAAAATTCGATAATACTTTAACTTCCATTTATACCTCATATATAAATATTATTCAGTGTTATCCAATTAATGTATCATTAATTGTCTTATGTGTTCTTTTTTTATAATTAGGATTATCAAATATAAATTTATTGATCATAAAACACATTTAATTAACAAAAAAACAATGAAAAGAACGAAAAAAATTAAAAGAACATAAATTGATAGGTGTTTGCATCATTAATAGCTTTGCAAATGTTGTATAAAATCAATACTTTTATAATTGTCCATCTAAGATAAAAAAACAGGTGTAGATATAATAAAATGCATATTTTTTATTTGTGAATGTTTTGTAAATTAAAAACGAAATTTCAATAAATTTTATCTATCTCTATTAATTTAAAAATAAACTATTAATACTAATATCGAAAAAATCACGTTGGTTTTTTATGTTTAATGTTTATTAAATCATTCACAGTAACTTCGGCACGACATATATACAAGACAAATGACTGAAATCAAGCGCAGATCATTACAAAAACCAATCACTTTCTGACAGATACGCATTTCTCACAGGTATCTTAGGCTAAAAAATAAAAAAAATTCATTGGGAGTAGCTGGAGATTTGCATACTGGAGATGCAGTATCTCCTTTAGAGAAGTACCGGAATACGTGGTGTTTAATCGAGGGATTCAGGATCTCCCTATATGTTCTCGTGGGTTATTAGATTTGTGCCGTGTTAAATTATATATTCATGCGAATGACTAGTATGTTAATCTTTATGCCGCATATCTCGTGTCTCCCGGTGCATCTCCGGCATTCCCGATTTTTAAGATATGTGACACCTCTCAAGATAATACAAACCGAATCAGTATACAACAATCGAAAAGGTCAGTGCAACTTCAGCACGATATATTGTATGTTAAGAACCTCCTTCACAATGGATTTCTCGACTGGAATGCCTCATTACGCGTAATTTGCAGGGATAACTAGTCTTGGTGAGAAGCGCTTCTAATAAAGATTCCAGCCTGGTATGTTTTACTACACCGAACTTTCAATTAATTTATAGCCTACTGTTAGCTTTCAGGAAAAACCTTAAATCTCCGTTCTTGTAGAAGGTACAAAGCTTGAGTTGATTTTATATTATAGCGAAGCTCTGTAAGCAACTTTTCCTTAAACAAAATATTAAAGGTTCGTTTCAGTCATTGTTCATGAGCATTTTAGCAGAATCATCTTAAAGGCAACAGAAAGAATTGTTATCCAATGATAGTAAATTTCCGTTTTCCCAGTCTAGGAATCATTTTTGAGAAACTGGTCGATGGATAATTGATTGTTGTTTAGATTAGGGATGCTCCGTTCCCGCTCCAAAAACGGGGAACGCAAGATATGTTTCGATAGCTCAGAACGTGTGGATACCATATTTTGTGCTATCAGTGTTAAATTAACATGCTACCTATATGACATGATTCAAAATCCAATAAAGATACATAACAATTAAGCAAGACTAGCCACAATGTTACTATCTTTTTTCGTTCATGTTTTCTTCAACGTGTTCTATCATCTTTTACACTGATTAGTATATCCACTACGTCATTTTTTCGGAAAAAATCTATCTAATCTGATTTTCTTCATAGAGGTCAACCATACATAACATATGGTCTGAAGTTTGAAAATATTCTTAGTAGTCTTTTCTATGGTGATTACACAATCAACAGGAGTGTATATCAAACCTTTTAATGCAATAATCGATTATACAGCCAGTTCTCTTCACATGAGCAATTCATGGTCGAATTCAGCAATATCAGCTACTTTCAAAAAGCATTTTCAATTCATTATATCTTAACAATGAGCAAAATGAGACTGCGTTCCCCGTTCCAAGGAACGAATACTAATTTCGCATATGAAGATGAGAAAA